AACCAGCGTCTTACCATCTGATCTAGCAATCCACACGCTAATCATCTTCCATTTTTAAATCTTAAGGATTCGCTTTCTCAATTCCTACTTTCGCATTTTTAACATTTTCAGCCCAAAAATCAATTTCTTTTCATTTTTTAAAATTCCATTTTCAACCAAAATTTTTGGTTTTTATTTTTTGACTTTCTAAATTGTCTTTTGACTTAAAATTTTTACTTTGAATTTTAAAGTTTGACCTTTGACTTTAAACTTTGACTTTCTCGTTTAACCTTCAAATTTTCAAATTTAGCTTTTCAAGTTTGACTTTTAAGTTTGACTTTTTAAATTTGACTTTTAATGTTGAATTTTGAGGTTTTAAGTCAAAGGGCATATTTTTAAACAATGAGTTCCTCAAACATTTCGGTCAATGAAGTTTCATGCTCTCAATCTTGTATTAAAACTATCAAATTTTTACGTGAACAGGCTGATTTGATGCGTAGAGAGATAGAGGAACTAAAATATGAGGGGTATCAACTTAGGAAAGGCCTGAAACCATTAGAAGAACAACTAGAGGCCAAGACTAAGGACTTTGGGAAATTACAGGCAGAGTACAGTGACAAGTGTGTCCATTATAGATATCTTAAGAAAGATTTTGATGTTGTGACTGCCGAGCTTGACACATTGAAAAACAAATTTGAAAATGCAGATTTTAATTTCAGAAAATATGATGTGTCAAGTGAGGTAGTTGCATCCATGATTGAAAAACAATTAAAATTTAAAGATAATCAAAATAAGGGTCTAGGGTACCACAATGTTCCACCTCCCTTTAGTGACAACTATAACCCACCCCTTGAAACCAATGAGGAAGAAATTCCTGCTCAGTCCGGCCCACTCCCCTGAAGCTAAGACTGAACAATCTGGTCCAACTGAGAATGTTGAGGTGAACGTTTCTGATGCTTCTACTTCATGTGCAGGTAAAGTAGAGGACAAGGAGAACAAAACTAATTCTAGTTCTGCAAATTCTGTTGACTGTCAAACCAATGACTCCTTGAACTCTGAATCTGCTGCTTCTAACTCAGTTACTTCTAAACTTGCTGTTGGAAAATACAAGCCACCAAAACAAGCGAAACTGACGACTTGCTGCAAGTGTGCTTGTGGGAACAATAAGAAACGAGGCAAGGACACACCACCAGGGGCAGGAAGAAACAACTTCCCAGTGAAGAAAAAGACTTGCTTTCACTGTGGAACACCTGGACACATTGCAAGAAATTGTCCTAATCGCTCATACGTTCCCTACTATGAACAAGAGTGGCAAAACGCACCAAGAGGGAGAGACCCCAAAAGAAGCCCTTCTAGGCCGCGTTCAAACAATGATAACTAGAATGCGCAGAAGGAAAAGAATCCAACTCCCAAGAACAAGAAGGGTATGCCGACCAAGAAGTCCAATCCAAGAGATGCTCCAGCGAAACCAAGACCGGCTAGGTCAAAGTCATCTCGGCAGCTACTTCAAGTTCAAAATCAAGTGCCGAGGCACTCATCGGATCGAAAAAGAAATGGGTTAAACCAAACTACAGATGGGTACCAAAGGTTCAATCTCCCAAATCTTCTAATGATTCTAATATTTCTTCATCTTCTGTTTGTGATAAGCAGGACATGTCATGGGAGAGAGTACCTTGCGTTGATGACAAAGGTCAACCCAGTTTCAAAATGGACTGGGTTCCAAAGACCAACTGATCCCGCTCTATGCTGGAGCAGCTATGGAGGCATATCATCAGACTTCAGTTTGTTGGTAGTGGCTGCTCCAGGCACATGATAGGGGACATCTCTCAACTGTGCAACACTCAGAACTTTAAGTGAGAGTATGTGTCCTTTGCGGGAAAGGAAGAAAGGAAGGGATCACACATGGGGTTAGTACTTAATGACATGAAGAATTTTCGGATCTGTTCTGAGATTATGCGTGCTGTTCTGAGACCTTCTGGATGCAAATTCAATCGGTGAATTACGGTTTGAGTTCTCTTCTCTATACTCCTGAGTTTATCTTAAACTGATTCGTTTTGAAGACAATCTTTTATTTTCTTATAGTTTTTCGTTAGTAGGTATTATTGGGAAGTGATATCAAGAAAGTGATAACGGGCAGTCTAAACATGTGTAAGGGACTGAATCTGAATTGTCTAGACTCTATGTTCAATGTGCTGGTAGGCACGAAGAATTTGACAGTGTGGATTTAGATAGGATTGTTTGGACTGACCATACGATGCTCGGGTAGATTGAGCAGTGAGATAAACATGGGAACCCACAGGATACACTAAATTAATATGCATCTAGAATTGTGGTTCAACTTTTCCTTGATGTACGGACTTATGTCTTTAATTCTGGTTCTGATAGGGCGACTGGGGGTTCTAATAAAGTAGGTCTGTAGGAAATTATTTTCTAGTTTTCTATCTGTTAGTCATATGTTGCTTCCTCTGCGTGATTGGAAGAGATCCGACCTAGAATGCAACATATGCAACTCTATTTCTACGCACCTCTTTATCTATGAAATTCTTTCTATCTGTTAGCCATATGTTGTCCCCTCTGCGTGATCGGAAGATCTGACCTAGAACACAGTATATGCACCCTACTATCTCTATAACCCTCTATCTCTATTAGTCATATGTTGTCCCCTCTACGTGATTGAAATAAATCAGACCTGGGACACAACATATGCACCTATTTCTAAATCTGACTTCCTCCTTAATAATTGTTTACTCACCTAAAGTAAGGAGTTCTTTGGAAGTTCTTGATAACCAGGGTATATAGGGAAGTGGGGAACACGTTCTAGTGCAACTAAAATTGAATCATTTAGAGGTTGTCTGTAGATCTCGCTGCTTAATTTAAGTGGACAACAATACTCGTGGTCGTCCTCAGCTAAATGGTTTATTTGGAAAAGTTTGTCGATATCCTTCGTGTTTAAGTGGACCACAATACTGGCAATTGACCAGATCTATTCATGAAGGTGAAGGTATTGATAAACAAAGTTAAGACTGTCTCACAACTTTGATCCCAAATATTTTTGTTTTTGTTAAATTTGTTCATAGTTTTTCTCTATACACAAATTTAGGGGGAGAATTAAATATTTCAAAAACCAAACAAAAATCAGAAAATTAAAAATCCAAAAATAGTGTTATTTCTGTTTTATTTCTTGTTCAGAAAATATTAAAAATCCAAAAATTTTGTTTTAAGTTTTCTTTTAGTTTTGTTTTGTCTTGAAAAGTGAATTCAGGTGTAGATGAGACTCATGAAGACTATATCGAGATTTTCTAAGCCAAGGCTTCATTAGTGATCATCGAAGAATTCTCATTCGAAGGAGCAAGAAATGAAGACTATTCTTTCAACATTCAATCCTTCAACCCTAGAAGCAAGGTGAAGTTGTACTTGAAGATTATGTGACAAATTGCATTGAAGCCTCCTCAATCAATTTGCTGCTATTCTTGTACCTGTTGAAGTGATCCAGAAGATTAGATCTCTCTATTGTTCTCTCTGAAGATTCTCAAGCTGAAAGCGCCATCTTTCAAGAATCTCTGCAAGAAGCCTCCTCACCCAACATGCGTTCAAAGCCAAATTCTGAAGAAAAGCCCCAAGTGCTCAAGATGAAGTCATTTATTGAAGATTCATCAAGTTCATCTTGAAGCTGTGAAGAAATCAAAGACAAAAGCTGAAGTCAAGCTCCAAATGAAGATTGACAAGAAAATCCAGCTACTTTTTAGGGGGAGCTTGTTGGGTCAATTAGAAAAAGAAAGCTATAAACCAAGGGGGTGATTGTTGGGTCAAAAATATGGTTTATACTTTACTTTTCTAGGCAATTATATTTTTTCAGTCTAGTTTACGGCTGTATGGGTGTTTACGGTCGTAAACGTGTTTACGGCCGTGAACCCATTTACGGCCCATGTTTACCATATAAATAGAGTTAGTAGAGTCATAAGAGGGTGTAAGGCTAGGAGAGAGTGTACAGTTGGAAGAGCTTAAGTGTGTGTATTCTAAGGTGTTCTAGAGAGAGAAAGGAGAGAAGGTGCAAGTGTGTGTGAATCTTGTGTATTGTTCATTCCAATCTTGAATACATCATAGATTCATATTATTCTTCTTCTCTTTCTTCTTCATTTGATCTGGCATCATCCGTTTGATTAGGATTCCGCACCATCAAACGGATCTGATTGATACTCATGCGAATTTGGGACCTTACAGGCTGTTATCATGGAAAAGAAGTGCATGCGCATATCATTGTATCCGAGTTCGAACACATTGTTTTCATTATGAATTGTTTAATCCAAATGCACATAAAGTGTTCAAACATCAAAACATGGAGTACGCCCATAAAGTGTTCGATAGAATGCAAGAGACTATGTTCTTGGAATGCTATGGTTTTTGGGTATGTTGGAAGTGAGCTATTGAGTATTGCTCCGGAGATGTTTGATTTAATGCATTAGTTTTAGGGTACTTACATAATGGAAGTTGTTGGAAATCCCTTGAAGGTTTCCTGTCTATATGAAGAGATGGTGTGGCCATGTGGGTGGGATGTGACAACATTTGTCTCGGTCAAACGCTTATCAACCAAAGCATTCATAACACCAAATCCATCATGATCACATATTCAGTGATTTCTTACAACCATAAATTAAACTAGCAAGAGATGAATCAATTACTTCTCTTTGTAGTCGATTCCTTTGCTTTTTGTAGTCGATTCCTTTGCTTTCTCCTTCGATGAATCGAGATCCCAAACCAAAGATCCTTTTTCATAGCAACACCCAAGAACAATGATCAAACAACAATGGCAACTTCTTTTATCTTGTTATAAACTTGAGTTTTGCATGACATTCACACATACTAATGATGCAAATACTTTGTTTCAACACAATTATAAGATGTAATTATTACCATATATAACCATTTTCATACACGCATACGAGATATCTTTAACTTTATAAACTACAATCTTATTGTCAACTGAGACACACTTTGGCTTTATCCATGTCAAGTCAAAGCAGTAAGCATAAATCATTACGCTCTAAATCTAAAAAACAAAGTTACAAACACAATCTACCAGAGACAACTTATGTGCAGGTTTTTAGGGTTTTGCATCAAACGACGAATGCAACAACAATTTATTATCAAAATTTTGCATAATAAAATAATTCTTGATAATGGTTAACCCAGCAAATTCAATCCATGTGAGAGGATTTTATTAATACACGCAAGCCTTTGGTGGAAAAGTCTGAACGTCATCATCAAGAGTATTCATGTGAACTGGCCTGTAGTCTAGTCGCACCTTCTCATTCTCCCAGTATCTGCACATATTTTAAGATCATCATATAATGTCATGAAAAAAAGTAAGATGTTATTTCTTGAATTTAAGAGAGAAATAGAGATATTTACCCGAGTGTGTGTTTCATCCATTTCTCATCATCTCTTTTCTGAAAAAGCATCAAATCGAATATTTATGAGAAAAGATGAATCGAAGAGAAGAATGAAATTGAAAAAGAAGATATGAATGTGAGCAAACCGTAAAATCTTCACGAGCACAAGCTCCTCTACTCTCTTTCCTGGCTTCAGCTGAATGCATAGTGAGGCATGCATTGATCAACAGGTTCACCAACTCTATCGTCTCTAGCAAGTCAGAGTTCCTGAAATATGACTTCACATAAATACATCTTTCCAAAACAGACCATAATAAAAAAAAATAAAAAAAAAAAAAATACTAAATCTTAAAAGTCCAATCGAATTTACCATATCAAGCTTCTATCCTTCAATTTGACATCATGATAACTCTCCCATGCTTTGTCAATCAGATCACAACCTGTATTACAACACTCAGACAGTCATTAGTCAGCCAATATGGTGACAAGGAAACATATATATATATATATATATATATATATATATATATATATATATATATATATATATACACACACACACACACAAACACACCTTCTTCTAATGTTTCTTGTATTCCACAATAAATGTGTGTTATGTTTCATGTCCAATTCTATCAGCACCATGCGACGATAAGCTTGCCTCTCTACAAAATAAGATGAAGAAAGTTACAGGCGGAAAGATTTCCTTTTACAGTATATTACAAGTCACCGGATTAGGATTAGCTGAAACTTTAATTACTGGCATCATCAACAACATCAAAACCACCTTATCAGATCAAAGTACGGTCATCAATAGAAAGTACCTCATTTGACAATAGTTCCGTGCCTCCAGAACTTCTCAAAATCATCCCTGGAGCAAAGTAGAGGAGACTAGCTAATGCATTATATGGGCACTTATACGTAGCAGAATGCATCTTGATCTAAGGGGTGTATTTTGGATTTAAACCCACACGCCTCAAGAAGCTTTCCCGGACCAACAATAAGCAGACCTTCCAACAAATGAATGCTCCGGGGAAGATGACTTATTCTTGTACCATCTATATATAACTCTTCTAAACATTCCAAACGTCCAAGTTCCTCAGGCAATTTCTCAACTCGAATACAATCTCGGAGACAGAAAAAATTGAGGCGTTTCATCTCACAGATGCTATTCGGGATATCTTGTAAAAATTCACACTTCCATAGGCGTAGCTCCTCTAAACATTCTAATTGGCCAAGATCCTCTGGTAACTTCTCAAGCAGCCAACAATTAGAAAGTATAAGATATTTCAGGCGTTTCAACATGCAAATGCTATCTGGAAGATGTTTAATCTTTGTAAATGACAAATCTAGCTCCTCTAAACATTCTAATTGGCCAAGATCCTCAGGTAACTTCTTAAGCAACAAACAAGATCGAAGCTTTAGAGATTTCAGATGTTTCAACCTATAAATGCTACCTGGAAGATCTTTAATCTGTGTATGTGAAAAATCTAGCTCCTCTAAGTGTTCTAATCGGCCAAGATTCTCAAGTAACTTCTCAGGAAACCAACACGATGTAAGTTTGAGGTATTTCAGATGTTTCAACATATAAATGCTATCCGGAAGACGTTTAATCATTCTAGATGACAAAGTTAGCTTCTCTAAACATTCTAATTGATGAAGATCATCAGGTAATGTCTCAAGCAAAACACAAGAACTAAGTTCAAGAGATTTCAGATGTTTAAACATATAAATGCTATCAGGGAGGTGTTTAATATCTGCAGACAACAAACCAAGCTCCTCTAGATATTCTAATTGGCCAAGATCCTCAGGTAACCTATCAAGAAGCCGTAAATCATCAAGTTTAAGAGTTTTCAAACGTTTCAACTTACAAATGCTGTCTGGAAGATGGTTTATATTTGTAGACAACAATATTAGCTCCTCGAGAGATTCTAACTGGTCAAGGTCCTTGATCACCTCTAGAAAACTGCCTTTGAGTTCAAGCTTTCTCAAACATTGTAACCCACAAATGCTTTGTGAAAAAGTCTTGAGGTTTGTGCAAGAACACATACCTACAGATAAAAGCATCTCAAGATTTCTAGTCAGTGAGGGACGGTCTTCTTTATAATCACAGTCAAACCGAAACTTTGGCAAGTTATTGTCAGGGTGAAGTGGACATCTTTCTAGAGACTGTACAAACAGATGTAACTCGGCTAAAGGACCAACCTCAAGTGATTCATCAACACTACAAGAAGTATAATCCTCTATGTTAAACTTAAAAGATCTAAACCTCAAACAACCACTTAAATCTACATGGGCAAGCTTTTTTAGACATCCAAAGGGAGTGTGAAGTTCTACCAATCCACTACACTCTTTGAGATCTAACTTCTTGAGATTTGGAGTCATCCTAAGGTCAAGGGTCCTCAAATTTGAATGGGTAATGATGAGTTCGGTGAGCTTTTGACATTCATTGGCCATGTGAAGTTCTTCCAAACAATAAGACTTTTTAAGATCTAACTTCTCGAGGTTTGGAGTCATCCCAATGTCAAGGGTCCTCAAATTTGAATAGGTGAGTAGTAAGCATCTTAGAGTTAGACAGCTTTCAGGAAAGTGAAGTGTTTGCAAATATTTGCATTCAAGAAGAATCAACTCTTCAAGATTTGGAGCCAGCCCAAGGTCAAGGGTCATCAAGCTTGAACCTTCAAGGTTGACAGATGTCAGCTTTAAACATCCAGCAGTCATGTGAAGTTCTAGCAAATTATAACAATCTTTAAGAGTCAACTTCTCAAGATTTGGAGAAAGCCCAAGGTCAAAGGTACTCAACCTTGAACGACTGAGGTCAAGGAATCTGAGCTTGTTAAGAACCTAAAATAAGCAAAAAGCAAAATGAATATTGGTGTAATAACAAAACAATGTAGGAAAAACATTATAATGAATCATGCAAAATGATCAATCAACCATAATTTTACCTTTCTTTCTCCCCCTTCCCAAAGTTGTACAATTCTGCTGTCATCCATCCTAAGTGCAACAAGATTATTTGCTTGAAATGTTGTGGGTAAAGACCTGAAAGGGTAACTGCTCCAATGCAGATATCGTAAAGTATTTGGGAAGACAGCTGGAACGACTATGCTAAACTCCAAATTACTGGAAAAATCTAACTGGTGGACTGCAGAAACGGAAAGAAATCTAAGTTCCTTCATCTTTCTCAGTCCTTTTGAATAAATATGCGGACTGAATTTCTTTGTGTGGAATTGTATATATTTTGTTGCTTTAGTACCCTGCAATCCAAAAGAAGTCACCGTGAAACTTGTGTCATAAATCATAATAACTATAAATGTATTGGTTTTTCCTAACATACAAATAAACTTAATCCTTACCAAATCATTAGCCAATACATCTTCAATTTCATCGATTTTCCACAATCGGCTATGCTTATGAGGCTCGTCGGGATGTGCGCGACGAACAATATTCCTACCCATTTCCTCAACATGATCATGCATGCCCACCCGCTCATCACCATAAGAATCACAATAAATAGCTACGAGAGATTTTTGCTCAAGAACTCGTAAACCAATTATAGCACAAAATCCACAACTTTCAAGTGCTCTGATTGCATCGTCCTTCTCCCAACCTTTCAGGTTACATGCAATATCTAGGAATATTTCCTTGTAATCGTCGTCTAGACTGATATAGCTAATTTCCAATTTTTTCAAAGTTTCCGTTAACGGGATTGTTTCTAGTCTTTTTAGGGCATCTACCCATTCAAGCTCATTTTTACCACAAAGAGACGAACCTAAAACTTTGATCGTTAAGGGAAGTCCAGCGGCATAGCGTACAACTTGTCTTGATAGCTCTTCATACCTTGGAGATGGAACCTCTCTCCAAAATGTATAAGTCTTGAAGAGGCAAATTGCTTCCTCATCCGATAACAAACTGACATCACGAATGAATTCCACTCGGTGTGCTACAAGCACTTGCTCATCTCTTGTTGTAATGATTATTCTACTTCCCAACTTGAACCAAGTAAGCTCACCGGCTAAAGCCTCAAGCTGGTCTATATGATCCACATCATCTAGAACAACAAGAACTTTTTTATCACGCATCCTCCTCTTCATCATGTGTTTCCCGTCATAAATACTACTTACACGTATGTCTTCATTTAAGACATCTGATAAGACTTGCTTTTGTAACGACTTTAAACCAGACAAAGAAGCATTTTCCCTAACATTTTCAACAAAGCTTTTACCTTCAAACTGAAAGGATATGTGATCAAAAACAGCTCTTGCCAAAGTTGTCTTTCCACCACCTCCCATCCCCTTGATACCGATCATTCGGACATCATCACAACCAATTCCTAAAGATGGAGCAAGATTTTTGATCCGGGTCTCCATTCCTACCAACTTTTCATCAATGTTGAAACTGATTGAACGTAACTCTAGTGATATCTCTTCAACTATTCTTTTGATAAATTTAGCTTCATGCCTGTATTTTAAAAAAGATTCGATTAGCTTACTCAAAACCCCATATGACCGGTCACTTTCAGATCTATAACATACAGCCCCACATGAAAAATAACATAGTTACATAATCATATTCCATGGTTATTCTTTGGACAAGACTTAAAACTTGAATTAAAATTTGACAATTTAAGATGCCATGTACGAGATTTTATATCCAGGTTATATGCTAAATCAATTACCCATCAGCAGTCTTCTTCAACTCCCATCCAGAGAGATCCGCTGATTCTTTCAGAGCCTCTCTCCATTTCCCAGCAGCTTCTTCTTTTTCATGTTTTGCAAACGCTTCCGCCACTGGCCCGCTTTGTTTGCGGACTTCTGAAGGTTCCACGTCATAGAAGACAGGGTAAGCGATATGCTCGTTTGTCCTGTGGCACTCCATTATCTTAACAAGTTCATCCAAGCACCAGGATGAAGAGGCGTAGTTCTTGGAGAAAACAATGATGTAAAATTTGGAGTCTTGAATGGATCCGATGAGCTCATCACTGATGTTTTTCCCTTTTTTGATTTTCTCATCGTCCTTATAAGTATGGATGCTTTTGTTCTGAAGAGCATGATAAAGATGATCAATAAAGTTCGTACGAGTATCTTCGCCCCTGAAACTCAAAAATACATCATATTTAAAGCTCTTGTCAAGGGATGAAGTTGAAGAAGACGCCATTTGAAGGTTTGATCGATGGGTCCTAACAAAAATCAAATCTTTGTTGGCGAAGTTTATGCAAAATGACTGTAAAGAAAATTTGGATGCGATGAATCGAGTAAAGAAACACTTCGATCCGATAAATTACTTGTAACTTGCAAGCGAATGTGAACGGAATATGTGTGTTTGGAAAAGCTGGAATTGGGTGGAAAAGAAAAGGCTCTTGTTTGGGTGTAGCTTTATTTTAAACGGCAAATTTTATTGCCTTTAATACGTTTTGTATTTCCCTTTTGAAAAAGATTGCATTATGCGATTATGTCCATCCTTTTACTTATTATTTTACTTGTTATAATGCATATCACGGATAAAAAAGATAAAATTAATTTTTATTAAATTATAAGTTAATTATTGACTGATGATAATAAATAATTAAATAATTTGTAAATATAAATGTTTTATCTGTAATTTGATAATAATATAATGATAAGTTGAAACTACAAAATCATAATAGTTTGAATATCTAATCAAAATTTTGTATTTGTAGATATGTTATAAAATTATGATTTTGTAAAATACAATAAAACTATGAATGTAGTTTTAAAAAATTGAAATATTCATGAAAATGACATTATATGAAATTTAAACTATATTGTAATATAAGAGAAATAACTATATAGAAAAAATAATATATATATATATATATATATATATATATATATATATATATATATATATATATATATATATATTGTTTAATAATGTGGATTGACATATATTGTGCGAACTTGTGAACAGTGCTATTTTGTGAGAATGACAAATAAAATATGTTGTTTAATAATGTGAATATGTTCAATCTTACATAACTATTGTAATAATCACACATTCTCACTAATTAAATCGTCTATAAGGTTATTATAGAATTTTTTTATTATTCTCATTCTATCATAATGTTTATTGAGTCGTATATAGTAATAATGAAAATAAGTGAAAAACGATGTGCAAGAACAAAAATAAATAAGAATAGTTGTGTAAGATTGAATGTATTCACGTTATTAAACAATCTATTCTCTTAGTAATTCTCCTAGAATAACATTGTCCACACGTCCGCATAATAGTTGTCCATCCACATTATAACCTAGCCCTATACATACATACATATACACATGCATACATATATATATATATATATATATATATATATATATATATATATATATTAAAGAAGTTTTTTTTTCTTTTTTGGGAAAGAGGCCAAAGCCCCGGCAAAGATTATATTAAAGAAGTTAAGAGTTAGGAATAGTGAACTTGCTCTGTTTTGGTCGCTTATTGCCCTACTTTTTTTAAGAATTACAGTTTACCCCCTGTAATATGGTCAGTTGACCAATGACTATTAATTAAAGGTCAAGTTTGCTTTTTCATATTAAAAGTGGGAGGAGTGGATTAGTGTCCAGAACACGTGTTATGTCCCCTCTTCTACCTCCCGACGTCCATTCAGATGTCTACACCTTTTCTACCGTTTAAGAGTTCCTCGCTTTTGAGTCTTCTTTCAATCGGTTTCTATCTGATGGTAGACCATTCCACTGTCTCTCTCACAATGTCGCAACTTATCGGCTTATGCTTCTGGATCGACGCCGCCAATTACCTTCTAATCGACCGATGAGGTCGACGCATACTACTTCTTCGATGGCGGTTTAGGTAGAGGACGGTGGTAGTCGGATTTTACTACAATCAAGCAGGAATCAGCAATTTTTTACTGGACTCAATCTTGAAGGTAAACTTGAAACCCTAGAATTGATAATTTCTATTGAGATCCTGAAATTTGTGATTATGACATCCCCTTTTTCACGGCCAGAAAAGACCGATTTTTGGTTATGCTTTATAAAAATCAGAGTACCTCTTTTAATAAAAATGTTGCGGAATTTGTTCCTAGAAAAACATGATAAATACGTTATCAAAGCATTTCCGAATAAATGTATTTTTATTCCTTTTAAAACCTTGGGATGTCATCGTCAATACAGAAACATAAGCATAAACAAAACTTACATTCATTTACACTAGTGATCTACATCTCTTTTAAATCTCTCAGTGTAAAGTAGCTTCGTATCGACACCTGTGATGCAAATAAGCTTGAGTGGGTCAGGTTGGGAAACCTGGTGGGTACATAGGGTTTTCAACCCACAATAATATAATTATTATGTTTTAACATCAAACAATCAACCTAATTATCCATCCCCATTATCTTACTCTTAAGGGTCTACCCTAAGAGTCATCTATCATGCATTTGTTCATTCGGAAGTCCCTTGCTTCCAGGGTTTATAAGACAGGTGTAACATCCCAAATTTCGAGTCCAAAAATTTCATTTTAATTAACTGATTATAAAAAACATTCATAAGAAAACTACGTAAAAATATATCATGTCTGAAAACCCAAATCATAAAATAGTAACATGTCAGAGTACAATCCCATAATATCTCAAGTGCGGAAAATCAATGCGTGTGTGTATGATGTGCTGCTACCGCGTCGGCTCCTTCCCCTTCGCTGAAGAGGTACCTGAAACCAAAATTGTAAACTGTAAGCACGAAGTTTAGTGAGTTCCCCCATCGTACCACATACCGTACAATCATATAGCATACATACTGTCGGGCAATTCTAGGGTGCCCGGCCTACCAGGTACGTCCATTCTGGGGTGCCGACCTACCCGTTACGGCCGTTTTGGGGTGCCGACCTACCCGTGTCAAGCCATTCTGGGGTGCCGACCTACCCGTATCAACCCATTATGGGCTGCTGACATACCCATGTCAAGCCATTCTGGGGTGCTGACCTACCCATGTCAAGCCATTCTGGGGTGCTGACCTACCCGTCGGTCCTAACAACCGATCCTCGGGGACTATTCCACCCCCTACTGCTACTATCACATATATCATAACATAAACATACTATCAGACATATCTGGGGTGTCCGAACTACCCTTCGGTCCTAACAACCGAACTTGGGGACTATTTCCATCCTACTACCACTATTACATATAACATATCAGGCCAGCATATAAACATATCATCACATACTGTCAGACATATTTGGGGTGTCTGACCTACCCTTCGGTCCTAACAACCGAACTCTACTACTATCACATATAACATATCATGCCAGCATATAGCATATCAGGTAGTAGCAAACCTAGATGATATCACAAAGACAATCATCTAACATACAACTCCTACTGGTGGGCCGGCATTGTGGCCGTAGACCCACCGCTACTGGAAGGTAACTCACCTCAAACGAGTAGCTGCTGATAATCTGTACGGGAAGTCTCTGTCTGCTGCTGCTCCGGAAATCCTCCGGCTATAATCCCCACAAAACACTTAGTCAGAATCTGATATCCACACTTATCGTTAAATGACTATTTTACCCCTGACCAAGTCCAAGTCACAGTCAAAGTCAAAGTCAACCCTCTGGCCAAAGTCAACTCTCACTTGACCTGACTCGCCGAGTTGGCCGCCAACTCGCCGAGTCCCTGTCCGTGTTTCAAATCCTCTATACGCTTCTACTCGTCGAGTTTAGCAAAGTCTCAACGAGTCCATATTCGATACTAACATCGAGTCCATCTTCATCTGACTCGCCGAGTTGTATGAACAACTCGTTGAGTCCTCCTTCATCCTATGAAAGTGATCAGTCCTTGACTCGCCGAGTTGTATGAACAACTCGTCAAGTCCCTCCACTACTAGATCTGAGCCCTAACTCACCGAGTCCATTACCTACTCATTGATTCCACCCTAAACTCTCAAATGGGGAAAAACTCGGCAACTCGCGACTCGACTAGTCGAGTCTGAAGAACGACTCGTCGAGTCCTATGCATGCCATTACTATACAGTCGATTCTGCTCGAATCCAGTGCATTCCATTCATAGATCTGGGCTCCTAGGGCTGGTTTTTCACGTAAAGTTTCTAACTTTACGTGCATGCATGCTAATATGAAGCTTAAATACCCAAAATAAGCTAAAAGAAGAGATCTAAGCTTGGAATGGAAACTTGGCTCAATAAAGGTGGCAACCTTGAGCTTAAGAGGCTCTGGAAAGCTTATATCTGAAGTCCATTCATCATATCAGCTCCTAATTCGACCTTAAAGTCTAGAAAGGGCTCAAAATCAACAAGAGCAAGCTTTTCAAGAGATCTAACTGATAATAAGAAAAGATTCGAGCTTGATACCTCAAAGGGGACTGAAATGCAACCAGAAATCCGGATCTACTTGCTCCCCTTGAATACTTCTCTTCTCTCTTCTTCCTCAAATCCCCAAGATGCACTAAAAACCTTCACAAGTGAGAAAATGCTCGAAAATGCTTAAGAACGACTAGGGTTTCGTATGGGACTCTTTGTGGGTGAGGGAGGCTGGTCTTGGGGCACATAAGATGTTTAAATAGCGTGCAAACCCTTGAAATTAGGGTTTCATCCAGACTGGCAGACTCGCTGAGTCCGGGAATATGGACTCGTCGAGTCGTCAACTTAAACTGCGTGCAATCCCGCCTCTACTCGACGAGTCGGGCTACTGACTCATCGAGTACCTCTTAAGAAATAAAAAATTACTTTATTTAAATCACATACCAGAAATGGGGCGTTACAACTCTCCCCCACTTATATTAGACTTCGTCCTCGAAGTCTGCTGCTGCTGAATCTATAAATATCTTTGGATAATGCTCCCTCATTTCCTCCTCGGCCTCCCACGTCCATTCTGAACTCTTCCGGTGTTGCTACTGCACCTTCACTAGCTGGACTACCTTGTTCCTCAAGGTCTTCGTTTTCCGATCCAAGATCGCAACGGGCCTCTCAATATAATTCAAGCTGCTATCAACCTGAATATCCTCCAAGGGTACAACTGCTGACTCGTCCACCAAACACTTCCTCAACTGAGAAACATGGAAAATGTTGTGGATCTGGCTAAGCTCTGCTGGAAGATCCAACCGATAAGCAACCCGACCCACCCGGGCCAAAACCCTAAAAGGACCAATGAACCTGGGGCCCAACTTGCCCCTCTTCCGGAACATGATAACACCCTTCCAGGGTGATACCTTTAGGAGGACCATATCGCCCACCTGAAATTCTAAGTCCGAACGCCTCCTGTCGGCGTAACTCTTCTGTCGAATTTGCGCAGTCTGCAGTCTGCTACGGACCTACTGGATCAACTCTGTGGTCTTGAGCACCACCTCGGTACTCCCGATGACTCGCTGACCGACCTCGCCCCAACAAATCGGGGTCCTACA